TGTCCAAACGACCACAACTCCGATCAACAATACCCAAATGGAGAAGATATTTCTCCAAATCAAATGATTCACAACAACAACGAAGTTTCGGGAATGATCAAGTACGAATTGATTGGATTGAAGATTTTGGAAATGATGGCAAGACTCACCGTTGACGTTATTAACATATTTTGTTTTAGAAAGATAAGAATAGAGACTGGACGCATAAACATAATAATTTCCTAGAATCACTCTGACAAACATCCTTTCAAAAATACAAATTTAGAGACCAAAGAAAAACTCTAGAATAATCTCCAAATAGCTCTCTTCAATAAAAAACACCCCATTGTGATATGATTTATTTGAATTAAACATGAGAAAAATATGGTGAAGAATGCTTTGGTCAGTCATCGAAGAATTGCTCTTTGATCGCTTATTTCAAGAGTAGTTATCATATATTTTCCTCTCTTTACTACCTAATTTACAAACATGAATTTGTTAAAGTGTATTGTTAAGATCATTTTTTCTGTGTGATGAACAATTAAAAAAATCTTTAAAATTATTTTTATTAATATAATTTTGAACACAACCAAATATAATTACATCAAAAACAAAAATTCCATCGTCCACATGGTTTCAATCGAAAAAGCATGGGGCCCATGATCCAACGGTGTAGTTTCACACATATAGATGTAAGTAAAATATCTTTACCAAAAGAAAAGAAAATGTGAAACCCTTTCTCACGCCGCATCCCTAAAACCTCTCAATTTTTTCCGACCTTTGCTCTGGCGAACAGAGTTGTAAGTGGTAATCGATCTTGTCTTTTTGGTATTACACAATATTTGTTGAATCAAGGCTTGATTTCTTCATTTTCAACATCTAATAAAGACTGTGCCATTTCGATTGATTTTCTGGGTTTCGATTCGATGAAATTGGGCATGTCTTAATGCATCATAGAGTTCCATGATTATGTCTTAATGTTTGGTACTCATGACATATCTTAATTCGTGTCTTTTAGATGGCTAGATGGGATCATATATTCTCTCTTCCTGTTCAAAATCCCACTTTGCTAGAATTTTCTTCTGCGGATCTTGTTTGGTCCAAGATTGAAGGTTACCAAAACAACATAGATAGATTAGCCCTAATCCCTTTTTCTAGGATCGATGATTTTGTAAGCGGTAAATCCTCCAATCAAGATTGTCCTACCAATTTCCATGCCAAAGTTCGACGCCGAAAACCTAAGGAACTAAAATATAAGCCAAAGGTTGATGGCATCTTAGAGTACATTATGTAGTTACACATTTGTCTATAATGTTATGATCCTACATTACTGACTCTTCATTACTAAACATAGTTATCATCTCGTAGGTATTGGTGTTCATTTGGACTAGATGATAATAGGAAAGGATCATTACGGCCGAGTAGGAGTACATATGTTTTAAAAAAGAATAACGCAGGGCGACCCAATTCAAAGAGAGGGTGCAGGTGTCATTTCATTGTGAATCTTTTAATCGTAGAACCAACGGTGGCTTTGATCATTTACAACAATGACAAACATGTTGATGAGAAAGGATTGCCTTGCCACGGTCCTCAAGACAAGAAAGCGGCTGGAACTAGAGCCATGTGTAACACCCGCATTAGGGACTATGAATCCCACCGTAAAATGTTAGTCAAATCGGTTATTTTATTACTCTAAAATTTCTATATTACATTGTGCGGTAAAATTACAATGTAAAGAACTCTAAACAACCATGTCTTGGGAAAGTATCTACTGCGTCCTGCCGCATCCTCCTGCCTTGTCCTCCTATGAGCTATCTGACCACCGAATTTCCTATCCTGCAAGCCTGGTAAAGGGGTGACTATTGAATACTCAGTAAGACGGTCTTCTCCGTCTCACAACCTAATACAACCTAACTACCCTTGAAACTATTACCCTCACATGATGCTCGCATGATGCCTTAGCACCATGTGCCACAACACTCGGTAGTAACTAGGCAAGCCCATTGCTTGCTAGTTTTCACCCCACACACACATCACCGTAACAAGGCAAGCTCACTAGCTACCTCTTAGTTACCAACACTTATAATAGTACGAAGGTGTCCCACCAGATACATTCATAGTACCACAACACTAGTAGTAACCGTCAGCTAACTTTCACCACTTTGACCCCTCTTGGGCCCTTCCGGCCACCCCCTTATGTCTGTCAGGTCTTCATACCACTTTTTCAGGCCAAACACAAACAAGTCAATGACGTGCGCCCATACACACGCAGCTATGTATTAATTAAATGTAGCATTGTGAACCTACTACCCTATCAATCAATGTCTACTCCATTTTAACCTAATCCACTCTTCTACGTTCTCAAGCAATAGTCCGGCCATTTCAAACAATACCTTTGTTCCGTATGGTCGGCCCAAGGTAAGCATGGCTATCCCAATATGTTACCCATGACACATCTATGGCCATACGGCAGCCGTCCTTGCAGAAGTACACACATAATATTATATGTTAATTTTGGATAGCTCATGACACCAACTTGTACCGTGAACAGTCCAAGCGACCTCATATCTATCCTTTATCCCCTTGGTTGTAAGCTATCTAACTTGAGTTCGTCAAAACTCTCTGACTTTTCTCTTACTAGACCATACTTGCAACCATGCGTCGGGTTAGCTAAGGTAGCAGTAGTCTAACCATTAGGCCATCCTAGTAGCGTCCTGCCCAGTTCACAACAATCTCTAATAGACTACCATATCCTACAAACAAGCGAACCATCGGGTAGAATTACTTCCATGGAGCGGTAGCTCTACCATAGCTCTATTTCCAAGGTTTAATGATCAGTTAGTCTTTCCACCTTTCAGCTTCTTGGACTAACTTCTCATTTGGCCTAAGGTAGCTCCTTGGGAAGGGTATATCTTAGCCAATACAAGACTCAATTCTAAGCATTGTGCGGGTCAATAATCATACGCCACAATACGATTGGATATGGTAA